AACGCAGCAGCTCATAGCTGACTTGAGGGTCGTCAAGCGCTGCTAGGCGTAGTATCAACTCCGCCGGGTCACCACGAGCGAAGTTGGAGACGAAATTCCTCTGGAAATCTTCTGTCCCTACTGGGACTCCGGCGACCGGCATGCCACCTTCGGCGACTGAGAGACCAATTTTGGTCAATTCTTACTGTTCGTCGTTTGTCAAGGAGGACAGGCAAAGGCCTTCTGGGGAAAGCACTTTAGATTTCGGGATACTGAGCTCAATGACTTTTTGGGAGAGACGTTCCTGAATCCGATTCGTTACAGTGGCGATAACCTGCATGTTCCTCGCCAACCCTGGTGGGAGATAACCCCTTGAAGGTCGTCGACGTATGTATCCGATGAGTTTGGCTCCTGGCACTGGTGGCTTGTTGTTGAGCTCTTTCATGATATTCAGGAGTCCTACGCAGAAGCCAAACCCTCCCAAGTCAGAGCATCCCGAACTCCGCACTGTGAAAGAACAACTTTGATGGAACCAATTTCATTTTGAACAGAAGTTCCGCCTTGGTTCGAGTGTAGATGTTGCCGAAATATTTCACAAAGTGTGGCGTGTGAACACCACTCACTGCTGGTAGGATAAAAGATCGGCGCACACTGTTGTAAGCATCTTTCCCATCAAAAGATAGAATTGTGCTGCCTTGCCGGTGGCTGAGGGTTGCTGTGGAAGCCACTATTCTACCTCTCCTGGAATGCCACCTCCAAACTGGTTTGCTGCTTCAAAGATGTTGGCAATCCCTTTCTGGTACTGGCGGCAGAGGATACCACTGATGATGCGACGTAGAACTCCTCCACCTGCAATTGGTCGTTTTTTCTCTCCAAACGCTGAAAGGTTGGCACTGGTGTCGAGTTTCTAAAGAAGCCCGGAAGCTCGTCGCCGTAATCGAACACATTGAAGCTGAAGTCCGCCAAGGTTTCAGAGAAACAACCGTAGACCATCAGGCCTTAGAGCACTCTGTGGATTGGCCTTGTTTACTGACTGTTTGATGAACTTGATTTCGAGCTGTTCGTCAGCTTCGGCGATGGAGTCAATTTTGGGCGTTCCTTCACGATCATCAACGGTTTTGATGCTAGAATCCCACGCAGTGGAAATATCCTCAGGATCTTCGTTAGGGTGTATGTTGCGAAGATGCTCCAGCGTGGCATTGTTGCACGGTGAAGGTGCTAGGGAGATGAAGGCACTGGCAGCTTTAGTGATGCCTCCTCTTTCATGCGCAAGTCTTGTAGCTCTTCTTTGGCGATTGTCATCGGTATCCGCATAATATTGAAGTCGACGATTCTCCTCATACAACATGAGCCAGGCAATAGGCTCACTCGTGTCACCGTTTTCGAAGCGGTTAAATCGGGATACCCTCTGTTCATCCTTCCATCAGTCGATCCGTGTAAACGCTGGGGTAAGAAGAAGCAACTTGGTTGCTCGGACAAGTTGGAGCTGTCGTTCAACGCGTGCTGCTGCATATCTTTCCGCTGCGAGAGGAGAGAGATCGGAGGTATCCGACTCCTGCTGGTCCATGTGTACAGCTCCAAATTCTTGCACGAAGAGGATGAGGACGTGTTGGAAGTGCTCGCAAAATTAATTCGCCAACTGCGGATCGACGTGTTAGTCGAAAAAGTAAAAAAAATGGACGTTTCAACGAGGGTGCACAGGAAACGTTTCCCGCACACCCAACCTCTTCCCTCCCCAATCTCCCACACTACTGACAGCTTTGCTAAACCGCCCATGGGACACCCATTGGTCGCCCATGAGCCGCCCATGGGGTATCCAAGAAGTGCCCACCGTGCGCACGTCCTTCGCCTCCGGCATATCAACCTAGAAGTTAGCCACCAGCTCCAACCTTGCACATATCGTGTGGACTTGGGGTTAACGTTAGGGTTAGTAGCCGCCACAGTGTCCGTTCCGAAGCGGCTTCTATTGATAAGGAGTACACTGATTCGGTTGAAGAGCTCTCATTGGCCGCCCATGGGATGCTCATGGGCCGTTCATGGGCTGCCCACCGGCTGCCCATGAGCAAGTCCACGGGCAGCCAATGGCTGCCCGTGGGCATGCCCATGGGCCACCCATGGGTGACAAAGTGCCCATGGGCGGCCAAGGACAGTCCTTCAATCGAACCAGTGTGACAATAGAAGATCTACTTTGGAACAGGCATTACAACGGCTAACAACCCTAACCCTAACCCTAACCCTAACCCCAAGCCCACAGGACACGTGCTAGGTTGGCGCTGGTGGCTATGTTCTTGGTTGTGAAGGTAGTTAAGTAGGGTGATATGCCGGTGGCGAAGTTTTAGGTAGAAGTGCCAACGGTGGGCACTTGATTGGCGGCCCATGAGCATGCCCATGGGCGGTTCAGTAGTGTGGGAGATTGGGGGATTGTGGCAATGGCCAATCCACCTCCAACAACTGAGAGACCAGTTTTCGTTGATTCTTAGTGTTCGTATATTTTTGAGAGAAAATATTTGTGGGACGCTCAGGGACTGCCGAGAATCTATTGCTTATCAGGAGAGACGTGTCTGTATCGATTTCGTCACAAGTGGCGATGGCCTGTATGTGGCTTTCCAAACCCGGCGGGAGATGTGCTTGAAGGTTGTCGATGGACGATAGATGTGATTCCTGGCACTGGTGGCTTGTTGAAATTTTTCATGACGCCTAGAAACCCTGCGCAGGAGCCGGAACCTCCCAGATGGGCGCTACACTCAGCGCTGCGGTAAGACAACCTCGATCGAACCACGATGTATGCATTGCCATTTAATGGTTGATTATTGTTTCGACCGCTTTTACCGGCAGTCCAGTGAAAATCCGTCCGTCTTCAAGCGGGACACAGAACGCGAAATGCCGCGCTTCCTAGTGAAAGGGTTCCACTGAAAGGGGGGGCGCAGGAGTTGGACGATGGTGTCCTGCTTCTGAACTACATGGAGGAGACTCAATATCACCAAGTAGCATCGTTTCTGCGTCATCTCGTTTCCCATGCTAGCATCATTTCCCTACTGTGGGTTGTGCTTTCTGCTGACCTCGCTTTTCGCCAGGGAGATTGACACAACTGCTAAATTCATCACGCACGGTCATCCTGTAACTCTTCCTTGAGCCCTCTCTATTACTACCGTTGCTATGAAGATCTGAAGCCTCGAAGTTCTAGATTTTCCACACCTCTCGGTGGGTGCTGTTCCTCCTCCATGCGATCCATTGGGAACCGCCGTCGTGTGTGGTGGGTCTCCCACACTTTCTACAGTTTTGCTAAAACGCCCATGGGCGCTTTTTTGGCATGGTTGACCCATGGGCATGCCCGTAGGTAGCCTAATGGTAGCCCGGGGGCGACCCATGGGCAACTGGAAGCCCGTTGGCAACCACTGACAGCCCTTCAACCGAAACCAGTATATTCCTACACAATAGATTGTCTGCTTTGGAATGGGGGTAGAAACTGCTAATAATAACCCGAACCTGTACCCAACCCCCCCCCCCCCCCCCCCCCCCCCCCCCCCCC